GCCTGTCACTCATCGTGCCTTGGCCCCAAGCCTTTCTTCACTTGGAGGTTCTCAAACCCTGTGTTTTCTATTTTCTTATCTGTTCTCTCCCTTTAAAATCTCTTTCACTTTAATGAGTTAAGCTCCTTCTGTTCCCAGAGCAGACTCCAAGCTGACATGTCCTGGTGTCATCCAGCACAGATATCTAGTTCTCTGTGAATCCCTGATAGTTCCTGATTTGGACCTCAAGTCTGCCTAGAGTTCCTCTTTCTGCAGAGTGAGAATCATCTTCTCTCCAAGAAAACCCTCTTGAGTTTAGCTTCTCCTTTTTTTATGCATCCTAAGTTCCAGCCATCCAGATATTACCTCACATGTCCTCTTCCTGTGTTTCTTTAATGAMAGGTCTAACTGTTCATGGTGAATTTCTAACTAGAAAAGATTTTTTCATTTTTTCTTTTCTTTCTTTCTTTTTTTTTTTTTTTTGGTACTGGGGATTGAACCTAGGGGTGCTTTATCACTGAGCCACATCCCTAGCCCTTTTTACTTTGAGGCAGGGTCTTGCTAAGTTGCACAGTTTGGCTGTGAACTTGTAATCCTCTGTCTCAGCCTTCCATGTAGCTGGGATTTCTGGTGTGGGCTGTTGGCCCTGCTAGAAAATATATTTTTCACAAGCTGCACTTGAAGGTTCAGCCTGAATCAGATGCTAACTTATGTGTTTTCAACGATTCCTTTGTGTTTTTACTAATTATGAGCTTTCTTCTAGTTCCTATGGGTCTTACCATCATATTTGCTTTTGTTTTCTTTCCTATTATAGTTCTGATTGCACTAAGTCGCCATTAACCATGTTACTTGTCACAAGACATTGAAGTTCTTCTTTCAGTCTTTTCTTTGATAGGGTGTCATCTTACTCGCACAGATTTCCATATTCTAAATTCTCCCACTGTGTTTCATATTGATTACTTTCTTGATTCCTTCCTTTAAAAATTATCTTTTGGTAGCTCAGTGTATGCTGAGCAGCAYAACAGGATAACAGTAGCAAGAAAAACAAACAGTGGATGAGCCACTGTCATTCTAAGAAGCCAAGAGACAAAATAAGGCAGAGCTATGGGACAGAACAAGCAGGTCCAGGGCTGATCTTTTAGGAAGGGGACCAACTCTTGGATGAGGTGCTGTTGAGCCAAGAGAGGTGGAAGCTAGCAGGCTGCTGACTTGGAGGAGGAGTGGGTGCTGATCGTATCTGGGAATTCACCCCGAGCTGTCTACCTGTATCCTAGGGTGAGGGAATAGAAGAGAGGAAGGGTGGTGCTGACAAGAAAAGGGGAGCTTGTGTTTACTGTGGTGCAGACGACCTACAGAGGAGGAGATTGGGTTGGGGAATTTAGGAGATTGTAAGGTAGACATGTTTGATAGTGTCCAAGAGGAGCCCTCTGCTGCATTGGATTTTGCCCAAGTTATTCAGGGAGAGGCCAGGCCAGGAGAAGGAATTTTCTACTGATGAAATCTGCCCAAAGGGGAGGAAAGCCATAAGGAAAAGAAGAGCCAAGGGCACTTAGAAGTTAGGTGAACCCARGTGTGGTGGCACAGCCTGTAATCCTAGCTACTCAGGAAGCTGAGGAAGGAGGGTCTCAAGTTGGAGGCCAGCCTGTTCAACTTAGACTCTGTTTCAAAATAAAAAATATAAAGGGCTGGGGATGTAGCTCATTGGTGGAGCACCCCTGGGTTCCATCCCCAGGACCAGAAAAGGAAAGAAAGATCAGTTGAGAACTGAGTGAGGTGGGCTGAGAGAGCACAAGAGGTCAGGCTGGGAGTTCTCTGGTGTCCTGCTGGCCGTGAGACTGTGGGGACACTTCCAGGCAGTGTGACCTTTATTGCCAGGCTGACTGTGGCAGACTGTATGGTTCTAGTTGATGGTGGAGTTGTAGACTGTAGATTTCCTGTTCTACATTTTTCTAGCTTCC